TCAATAACGGATCATTCCTTATCTATAATCTGCAAAGAATTTGTTTATATTACCCAAAATAATTCTGCCCTATAAAGGGTTAAAATAAAATGAGTTGATTACGACAAAACGAAAACCAAGTAGTATATCAAAGTTATTTAAAAAGTAGATTACTACTATTAATCGGAAATAATATTTCAACGTTTTTTCCCTATTCATGGGGAAGATTGTCGAAAAATGTATGCATGTGTGTGTAATCAACGAGCAAAGTCTTCTTAATAATTTGTTGATATTCATATTTTCGCGTGGTTGTTTCACGCCTTTTTTAGTGTAGAATTTGTAGTGATTTTGTTTGAAGAAGAATTGTCCATTCTTATGTAAAATGCAGCTTATAATGAATTTGTCCCTTGGGTGAATATCGAATAGCACCACCAACATCCTTAGTTGGATACTTTTGTAAAACTGAACTGCATCGAATTTCTTAAAGAAGTCAAAACTTAAATAAGTTACATTATGTGGAGCTGGTTTCTTTCTTGCCTGCTGACAGACGGTGACATAATCGGCAGGTACGTTGATTATCCTACCTTTTAGCTTTTGTTCTATCACTGAGTAGACAGAATCCACTTCAATTTGTGTATGGCCAGGCTCAATAAATTTGTTCTATTGTTATATTATGGTTTATTGCTAAATTCAGTAGAGCACTGGCGATAACACAATTGCGATTTTGATAGCTACAGCCATCAGTAAAAATTGTAATGGTCTTCCCATTCTCATTCTCTTATTTAGCAATTTGGGGAAGAATGTGGGTTACATTCAATCACAAAAATGATACTAAAATACTTGCAAATTCTTCGGGATTTAGACCTTCGGCTTCATTAAAAAGATAACAAAATACATTATTCTTTATTAGATTGTAGAAGCACAGGCTGTGCACTTGTAGTTTTGTTCTATGATAAAGTGTACTTACTTTCTCATCTTGTCCTTTTTCTTTTCTTCCCTGGTTTCTGTTTTTCTTTGAATGTGTGCTTTATTTTTATCTTCCAAAATACTTCCATTTTTATAACAGATGCATTTTTCACGCTTATCCTTTTTCGGGTAGAACAAGGCAAAATTCTCGTTTTTAAAGGTATTTGAAAAAGTGCTATTGATATTGGTTCATTTTTTTTTAATTTGCACCACTCGTTAATATAGAACTCGTAGAGAGATTGTTTTATTTCCATTCTGCTAATAGGTATTTCTTTTGGGTGCTAGCTCTGCAGTAGTGTGATTCCATAACTAGCAATGAGTTTAAAAATTTAGTTAAGCATTTACGACGCATATCAAATAGTTTTTCTAGTCCTAAAGATTTTTTAATACTTGGAGCACGAGCTTTAGAAATGTGTTTCCAATGATGAACTGTCCATCTCCGATTCCCAGCGGAGACAAAAACATGGTTCTACACACTCCAAGATTCTGGTCTTTGACCTTTAAAAAATATTGCAGAGTATATCCCCTTTTTGTCTCCTCAGATTTTTTTTCGATTTTTTGCCCTTTTGGGAGCTAGAGAAACAACATGACTGTTGTCTCCCCCCAGCTAATCTAAAATGCTTTAAATATCTGACGTCTGTCTTGTTCTGTCAAGGACAGACATTTTAGAACACCTGTCCATTTTTTGCATCTCGGTTTCATAGCACAAGGATCCCTTGGTTCTTTATAGTTTCATTTTCCTTCTTTTTTTCTCTTGCCTAAATATCTTTTTCCTGTTTCCCGTAATCGTTTATTTTTTTGTACAAAATAAGTTGATTCCTGCACTTGAAGACGTTTTTTTTTTTTTCTATTCCTACTCTTGCTGGGTATTCAACGATGCTACTTGAATATGTATCTCTTGAATGTTCTCTCGACAAAAATTTGCTACCGTGCTGTAGCTAGTCTAGACATGAAATGGCGTGATGCCGAGCAGTATTTACCTTTATAAATCTAGATTCTTACATATAGCAGGTTTTGGTACCAGGTAATAGATAGTATTTCTGGCATAATTAGGAGTTGGTTGATTAACAGCTCATGAAAAAAAGAAAAAATAGCTTTCGAACCATGCAAAAATATTATTTTATATTAAAAGTGAACTTATACGATAGAACTTTAGGGTGACGATATATATTATATTTGGGTGTCCCATGCAGCAACTTAAATTTATTAGTTCGTTAGGTTTTATTACGCAATTTGCAATTTATATATTATATGAGGAATTCTACAAAAATTCGCACCTTAACTGGAGCCAAATATGGTGATATTGCAATTTGCTGCCCGTACCCCGCAGTAACATTTTTTTTTCTGTAGGTTGATACCAAAAAACATGTTTTCAGGTGCGAGCCTCAAAAAAAAGGCAAATTTAAGTTTTTTCCAACAAAAAACTGATTTGTTCGCTAAAGCTTTTTCATTCTTCTAGCGATCTGCCTCGACAAACGAGAGAAAGAGACTTCTATACTGGGAGCACACGTACATATCAGCTACCAATCGCTTCGTCTTGATCTCCAGAAGGAACTCTGGCCCTTTGAAGAGCCAAGAAACACCTGCTCAAAGCGTGGCAAGGGTTATTCAGTCACTAAAATCGACGTTTTTTTGAATTTTTTGCGATTTTACCCGAAAATAGATTAAAAGATACGTCTATAGTTGGAGCACATATACATATTAGGTACCAATCGCTTCACCTTGGTCCCCAGAATGAACTCTGACCCTTAGAAGAACCAAAAAAAAGCTCAAAGCGTGGCAAATGGTTATTCAGTCCCTAAAATCGACGTTTTTTTTCATTTTTTCGCGATTTTATCCGAAAATAGATTAAAAGAGACCTGTATAGTTGGAGCACACATACATATTGGCTACCAATCACTTCGTTATGATCCCCAGAATGAATTCTGACCTTTAAAGAACCAGAAACACCTGCTCACAGCGTGGCAAGCGGTTATTCAGTCCCTAAAATCGAGTCTCCTTTTTCATTTTTTCGCGATTTTACCGGAAAATCTAGTTAAAATGACTTCCGTAAGTGAGGTTCACCTACCACTAGATCTCTACCACTAGTTCACTAAATTTTCAGTGATATTGTACATTATTATCGCTCTGGTCGAAGTCATTTTAACTTGATTTTCCGGTAAAATCGCGAAAAAATGAAAAAATCATCGATTATAGAGACTGAATAACCGCTTGCCACGCAGGTGTTTCTTGGTTCTTCAAAGGGTCAGAATTCATTCTGGGGATCAAGACGAAATACCTAATATATGTAAGTGTGCTCCAACTATACAGGTCTCTTTTAATCTATTTTCGGATAAAATCGCGAGAAAAAATGAAAAAATGAAAATGTTACTGCGGGGTACGGGCAGCAAATTGCAATATCACCATATTTGGCTCCAGTTAAGGTGTGAATTTTTGTAAAATTCCTCATATATTATATATTATATAATATATTATATTATATTATATTATATTATATTATATTATATTATATTATATTATATTATATTATATTATATTATATTATATTATATTATATTATATTATATTATATTATATTATATTATATTATATTATATTATATTACTATTAAACTGGGAGTAAGCCACAATTAAAGATAAAAATACGTTTATTGACGTTTCAATTTCCACTTCGGAAATCGTTCTCAAAATACAAACAGTAAATTAAACAAATTTTGTTTTTTGTTACATAGTGAAAAATTCTTCTAATAATTTAATTTTATCTGACTCATTTATATGACAATTCAGACGGCATACATTATGCATTTTAAAGTAGACGACTTTAAAATGATATTGCCAATATTGTTGAGTTGCGCTCCTGGGACGACTTTACTTATAAGATAGTTCATTCGATTACATGAAATCAACTTTAACTTGAGAATATCTGTCAGAAAAAAATCATAGCATGTAATTCGCTAAATAAGCACGTTATTTCAAAAACATAAATGATGTATCCTCTATATGATACTGTTAATGCTATGCATTAACAGTAACATATAATGCTAAAAATCATAGCATACTACATGCTATGATTTTTTTCTGACGGATATTCTTAAGTAAAAGTTGATTTCATGTAATCGAATGAACTATCTTATAAGTCGTCCCAGGAGCGCAACTCAACAATATTGGCAATATCATTTTAAAGTCGTCTACTTTAAAATGCATAATGTATGTCTGAATTGTCAATATAAATGAGTCAGATAAAATTAAATTATTAGAAGAATTTTTCACTATGTAACAAAAAACAAAATTTGTTTAATTTACTATTTGTATTTTGAGAACGATTTCCGAAGTGGAAATTGAAACGTCAATAAACGTATTTTTATCTTTAATTGTGGCTTATTCCCAGTTTCATAGTAATTAATTTACAATGCCACAAGAAAATAGCTTCAGAACAATATATTATATTATATTATATTATATTATATTATATTATATTATATTATATTATATTATATTATATTATATTATATTATAATATATTATATTATAGTATATTATATTTATAATATAATATAATATATTATATTATATTATATTATATTATATTATATTATATTATATTATATTATATTATATTATATTATATTATATTATATTATATTATATTTTATTTTATTTTATTTTATTCTATTTTATTTTATTTTATTTTGTGATATTGACGATCTATGTAATTTTAGTAGATTTTAAATTGTTGTTGTTATTTTTCTGACTTTTTGTAAGCTTTGTCCATACATTGTACAATTTTTAGTGACAATAAAGCATATTTCCATCCTATTCTATTCTAAAAAAAATATCTTAAAACAATAGAATCCTGTCACCAACAAAAACCTACATTTATAAACTTCTACATCGACTATGATTAATGTGTTTATGTATTATGCTTCATAACATATATTTTTAATACAAACAATAATAAATTGTAATATCTAAAAAAGCATTCTTTTTGCACTTATTCCGTTCACCATAGTAAGCAATAGTTCTATTCTTAACTTTAAATAACAAAAAATGACTTACATCCTAAATAAACGCCTACTGCTGCTAGAAGGAGAAATAGAAGAAATATGGCAATTATACAACATCCGCATTTGTATTGGGATGTCAGCTTTTTTCTGGTAAACCGTATATCTGAGTCTGATGAGACTATTGAACTAGGAGATCTTCTGTAATGTCTTGAACCTGATCCGATTGAACTTACTGAAGTCTGTAACAGAAAATAATGTTTCAACATATAATATAAATATAAACGAAATATTTAAATATTTTAATTTTATTGTTATATATCGCTCACCGGCGACAGTAGCATAACTCAAAATTGAATATTTAAGAGAAAATCCAGGTTTAAAATTTTTTGAAACACGCAATTCATTGTTTAAATAATAAATTTTATCTCATTAAGTTTATAGTTCTATGATAAATAATTAAAAATGTGATGTTTAAATTTTTGTTGTTTTGAAAAGTGAAATTTTATTTTACATGAAGATGTTTCATTTATGTACCGCTTATTATTTCAATTAAAAAAAGTGGTAGAGTAGGTAATACTGTAGACTAGTGCCAAGCTTCCAGTATATTTTCTGTACTTTTTAAATTGAATAAAGTAATTTTATTATTTATTTAATATTTTTCTATAGATTTTTTAAGGATTTTAATAAAGTTGAAAAAGTTTACATGTATAATGACCTCTCCTCGTCGCGTGAATGGACTCTTTACAAACTGTTTACTATGACTACTACTTCTTAAGAAGCCATATTTAATATGTACTGATTTAGAACTATCTTCTAAAGTATAAATACGAAAATTCAACTTAAAATGTTATTACTTACAACTATTTTTGTTATACTTTAATACTACAAGTATAGTCAAACTTAAAATATTGTAAAAATCCGATATTGTATTTATATAAAATTATTTTAAACAAGGGGTGTCTACAATAAAAATTTAAACAGATGAATCAATATTTTTATTAATTGGATGACATTAATGATCACTTTTAAACTTTGACCGTTTGAGAATCGTTTCGAATCGAATTCTAGTATCGATCTTTTATTTTTCTGTTTGTTTTACTACTTCTTTTTTGATAGATATTCTTTTAATATTTTACTTTTCATTTAATGTCTTAATTTTTTAGTTATTTTTCATACAGTTTTTAATTTAAACCTGCTTAGTATAAATATATGATAACTAAAAACGAATGATGCAAAGTAGTGGATCGATATAAAACAGCTTTTTCGTGGCCTACTTGTACGTTATTTGATTATTCAAAAGTTGGGCAATTATAAAAACATTAAAAACTAGTGTAACTCTTTTGATAACATTAGTCAACAAAAAAACATTAGGTCGTTGTATTTTTGTTTCGGTATAGGTATTAGCTTATTGTAGGATTCCTTAACTAAAAGTCAGAAAAAGGAAATGACGAAATCGGTAATCTTGTAAATTGTTCACTTAGTTTTGTTGACCTGAACTTGTCTTCTATAAAAGAAGTTTTATAGAAAAAACAGTGCAAGTGCTTCTTCTCCGCTCTAAATATGGAAGCATCGGTAAACTTGAAGGTTTCGCCCATAGTATATTTTGGAAAATAAAGGCTGGTTCGTTCGTGTACATAGCTCTAGAGTGAAAGGCTCGTTTGATGTTTCTCTCTATTAGGAGAATTATTACAAAACGAGGGAGGTATCATTACCTCTCTCGTGTTGTGTTATCGGTAACATGGTGTTTGTGCATAATTCACTTTTGCGACATAGAGCTATATGGCAATGAAAAATTTATTTTTTTGTTCTCAATTTCAATATTCTCAGAATTTGAAACATCTTCCTTGTCTTTAACTGGTTCAACCAGCATCTACCTATTTCTACTGCTCTTCTTTGATCTTCTCCCTCATGTCACATAACATTTTAGAGGTTCTTTTGCGTAAGCTTACATACTGCATTACTAAGTGGATAGTGGATAATTTTTTTAGTGGATAGTGGATAATTTTTGGAAGTAAGATTGAAGACTCTGAAAGCAAGATTGGACATTTTGGATTCGGCACAAGAAACACAAGAGGAGAAAAACTCATGGAATTCCTGGAACAAAAAAACATGTATGTTATGAATACCTTCTACAAAAAGAAACCAACAGAAAGTGGACATGGGTCGCACCTAACGGAACTAATAAAAATGACACAGACTATTTTCTCTCAAACAACAAAGGAATATTTGAAGACGTCACAACAATAAACAACGTAACAATGGGTAGTGACCATCGTATAGTCAGAGCAAAAATAAATATTACATGAAAGAAGAGAGAAAAAGATTTTTAAAAAACAACGAGGATAGATGCCTTTAAACTAAGAACAAATGAAGAGCAATTCCGAGAGGTCTTAGCGGATAAGTTCGAACCTGATCCTTCAAATAATCAAGATCAAATTGACGAGATTAATAAAAACCCAAATAAAAACCTTCTCGCAGCAGGACTACAGGTCGCAAAGAAAACAAGGACTAAAGAAGACAAAATAAGCAATGAAACTAAACAGCTAATGACGGAAAGAAGACAACTACTAGCGCAAAACAAAACGCCATACTCAAGAATATAGAGAACTTAATAAAACAATTAGAAAAGAACTAAAACGCGACATACAAAAATGAAACGAGAACTTAATAGAGCGAGTCTTTGAAAACAACAGAGGCTTAAAATGTCTAAGACCCGCACTGGTAGTTCAAAAAATCATCAAAATTAAAGACGCCAACAATAAGGTAGAGAAGGACAAATATAAAATAACAAATATTGTCGAAGCCTTCTACACATCCTTGTACAGCTTGCAAGGCCAGCCTAATGAAACAACAAAGGAGAACGCCAAAAAAAAAATAAAAAACGTGGGATTAGAAGTACTATTAAATATAAAGGGATGCGAAATAGAAAGAGCTTTAAAAGAACTAAAAAATAATAAAGTTCTAGGTCACGAGGGTATAATTGCCGAGCTCTTGAAAACAAGCAAGACATTAACAATCCCTGTACTAACAGAGCTATTTAATAGATGTCTCCATAATAGCCAGATCTCTAAAGACTGGAACGAGAGTCTAGTAATACTCTTACACAAAAATGGGGACACATGTGATCTACAGAATTATTGACCTGTATAGTTGCTCAGTCAAGTATACAAACTATTTATGAGAATTATTAATAACCGGTTAACCTACAAAATGGATAATTACCAACCGGTTGAACAGGCTGGCTTCCGCAAAGGATATAGTACATCAGACCATCTGCTGACAATGAGAACATTGATAGAGAAGGCAAATGAATACCAACTACCCGTATTTCTTGCCTTCGTCGACTATGAAAAGGCGTTTGATAGTATCGAGATGTGGGCCATAGAACAAGCTATTAATAATTGTAGAATAGATTCGAGATATAGGCAACTAATACATAATATATATAAAAATGCAACTATGATAGTAGAACTAGACGAAAATATAAATCCCCATTAAGGAGAGGAGTGAGACAAGGAGACGTAATATCGCCAGAGCTTTTCAACCTAGCCCTAGAAGACGTCTTCAAAACTACAAATTGGTCAACCTATGGCATTAACGTTAATGGCAACAAGTTAAACCACCTGAGATTCGCTGACGACATAGTGATTATAGCGAGCACATTCGAGGAACTGCAAATTATGTTGGGGGAACTAGCAGCCAGCTCCCAATACGTCGGCCTAAAAATGAATATGAAAAAAACACAAAATAATGACAAACACAGATGACCCCAGACATATAACTATAAACGGCAGTGAGATAGAACAAATCCAGGAATATATCTACCTAGGCCAAATCCTGAGTCTTTACAAAGAGAACCAAAGTGCAGAAATTATTAGAAGAGCAAGACTAGCATGGGCAGGATTTGGAAAACTTAGTTGGATACTTAAGAACCGCAAAATACCCCAATACTTGAGGAGCAAAGTGTTCAACCAATGCATCCTTCCTATCATGACATATGGATGTCAAACCTGGACCCTAACCAAGGCAAACATGAATAAACTAGCCACAACAGAAAGAGCAATGGAAAGAGCAATGTTAGGTATACGACTGTCAGATAAAAAGAGGAACGACTGGGTAAGATCCAAAACAAAAGTCGAGGACATAACAACAAAAATTGCCAAACTTAAATGGAGCTTCGCGGGCCACACTGCTAGACAGAAAGACCAACGTTGGAATACAACAATACAACATTGGAGACCTTACGAAAGTAAACGACCAAGAGGAAGACCACAGATGAGATGGGTTGATGACATTAAAAGAATAGCTGGAACAAATTGGAAATATGTTGTTCAGGATAGAGACCGATGGAAGGAGTTGGGAGAGGCCTATGTCCAAACATGGACGACAGAAGGCTAAGACGAAGAAGAAGAAGAAGTGGAAAATTTTTGTTTGTTGTAGAAACAGGATAGTTATCCATTTAGAATTGGTAAAGAATCATGCAGATCAAAACATGCCACCTGTTACGACTGTGAGATTTTGTTTTTATCCTCTCTCTTTCTTCCCTCTACTTCAAGTTCTTCTCTGCAATAGTTGTATATTGTGCGTATTCTTTTTTTTTTCGTTTTTCTTGTAATTTTAATTTTAGTATTATTAAAGCAATATTAAATTTGTGATTAAAAATGCTTTTGTTATCATCCAGGTATCAAAATGTCTTCTTGGCTTTCCTAGTCCAACTTATAATCGCAACAACTATACTATTGTTTTACTTCCTTCAATATAACATTTTTCACGGTGACCCCGTGAATAGTGGCTATCAATTATTGGGATCGAAGAAATGTATAAATAACACCATCTTTAATATCATTACACATTTCTTTGTGGATATTTCTTTATAATAAGAAGAATTTACAAAAGTTAACAATTCCATTATGTTTTTTTTTAACAAATACAAAAAAAAATTCAAATACAAAGTTTATTTCGACACAATTAGCAAAAGTGAACAAAACACGACGTCTTTAGTGACCCTTTGTAAGAATATAAACGAAAACAAAACATTAACATAACTCAGAAATACTACTGTTGCTACAACTTTTAAAAAAAAATTAAATGAAATCCGTAGTGACACATAGGCGATCTAATAAAATCGATGGGAACTGCAACATACTGCGTTAAATTTAAATTCAATTATAAACAGTAATATAAATGAATTATTTTTGAGATGTGCCATTACGGCCGCCGGTAAGCCATAGAAAAACCC